AATGCATCACTACAACTCAAAGGCCTCCTCCCAGGCGCAGGGGCCTCCTACCTGTGTGACGTTGAACACCAGGTAGGAGTAGTTGTCCTTCTCGAAGGTGTCCAGGCTCTCACCGTCGTCCCAGAAGAGGTCCCCCCAGGCGACAGCGTTCAGGGATAAAGCTGCAACCAGGCGCAGTGGATTCCCCCGGCTTGCCCCGCTGGTGGTCTCGGGTTTCTGTGGGGAAGGAAACTGTGTGTGGCTGGGTGCTTTATTGCAGTCTAGATGCATGAAGCCTCCAGCTCTCTGGGGTGCAGCAAGGGGCATGGGGGTGGATGGAACATGGATAATGCAAGACGCCAAGGAAAATGGCCCCTAGAGCCCCTGACCCAAAGCCAACATCATGTCTGCTGCTGCTGCACTGAGCTGGGACCTGCCAGAGCTGCTTCACGATGCTGCAGGACAGTCCCATGCCTCCCTGGAAGGGCCAAGGGGCCCCGTTTCTGCCTGCCCAAGACCACCCCACGCTTGGACCCTGATGGTGGTACTGAGGCTCTGGTGAGCCCTGCAATGGACACAAGGAGTGGTACTGATGGTCCCCCAAAGAAGCGTTCACTAGCTGAAGTGGGGGTTAAAGACATGGGGCCTTTGAGAGGGGTCAGGGCCCCCTCCCCAGCCCAGAGCAGAAGGTTACTGCATTCCCTAAGCTGGCAGGTGTTGGGACATGCCGGCTGGCAGCCCCTGAAGCAGCTCCATGCTCTATGGCAGACCCCCGCCCCACAGCCCTGGGCCACCCACCTGGGTGGGGAGAACGGCACCCTCCCGGATGTGCAGGTTGATGTGGTCCAGCGGAGCTGCCATCTTCAGCATCTCCCCGCTGCTGTTCACAGACGAGCCCTGCAGAGGCAGAAAGGGGCAGTCAGGGGTGTGCTCAGAAATGAGAAGGTGGCCACTGCCCTTCCCTGATGCCCCTGAGGGTGGCTGTGGTGCCGGCTCAAGGGTGATGGGTGACGCTGTGTGTGGAGGTGCCTGGCTGGGTCTTCCTCGGACCTTTTGGTGCCTATTTGCAGCCAGGAGGATGCAGAGCAGAGGAGGCTCCTCTCAGCTTCTGCGCTGGCCCTCTCCACTTTGCTCCCTCGCCCCACCCCAGCCCTGCTCAGCCTTCGGACCCAGCTGGTGCACCAATTCCCGGACGCTCCTGGGGCTGCGTCAGGTACGGTGCCCAACAGGATGCCCAACCTCCCAGTATGCTCCGCTCCTCACCGTATAGTAGTCGTACCACAGCCCTCGGGGGAAGTAGCCAATCACCGAGTCTGCTCCAGGCTCCAGCACTGGTGTCACCAACAGGCTCTCCCCCCACAGGAACTGTCTATCAATGGAGTACGTGACCGTGTCCTGCGGGAACCTACAGCAGGGAGGGAATGCAACAGACCTGAGCTGTCCGGGGGCCCCTCACACTAGCCTCTGAGCCACGATAGAGCATCTTGCACTTCATTAGGTGTCTGCATGTCAGGAGCACTTGTTTGTGGACAAGTGGCGTTAAGAAACCGTGGCTGGGGGCCAGAGTGCAGACTTGTGCCATCAGCTTTCAAGGGTCATGCTTGCTCAGTGGGATTTGGGACATGCCCAGCTGTAGGCTGGCAGAGGAGGGGGCCAAACCTCCTGGCTCGGTGAGGGTGGGGGGTCCTGGGGAGGGGAGTTGTGCTGGCCGTGGGCAGTGCAAGGGGAATCCTTGTTCCAACGAGGTTAGTTTCTTACTCAAAAAACAAGGG